TATTGTGTCATAATTCAATTAAAATCAATTTAAGTGTTTTAATCCGATTTAATCTTCAAAAATTCATAACTAATTCATCTTAGCTCCGTTTTAGTTGGTTCAAGTCTCTAATTTTTTCTAAAATTGAGATCTACATGTTAAAAATATCCACATGTACTGTTCATGCTTGTTTATGTGCTGTTTTGGTGATTTTGCTCTTTTTTTCTTAGATTCCGTCGTTTCCGGAGAGTCCGTTTTCGCCGGAGAAGAGTTTGAAGAGTTCCAAGGCCAGCAAGGCAAGTCACACAGATCCCAAACAACCCTTTGAGCATGTTGATCCCGTTTAAAGCTATTGTTTCTATTCAACTATTGAATCTATTTTCGAATGTCATTGGGTGGAATTAACCTATTCATTGTTATAACCCTTTTGTTCTTGATTACTTTATTCCTTGATACCTTGGGTTATTATAACTTGACTAGTTGGGCTATGTATATTGGTTCAACTAGATATTAGATATAATTGCTTAGCCCTGCTTAGAAACATTAGCACACTATTGGGGTAACTTATGACTCACTATTATTTAATGATGGCTTAATGATAGTTCACGATGGTTAATCGTGATTGGTTAATTAATGAATGTGCCAACTAAAACCTGATAATGGTGGGTTGTGAGCACATGGTTTTGATGGTCGTGCTCATGACAATTAAGGACCGGTTCACGAGTTTCGGTTGTGAAACATTAACCGTGCCAACCACAAGCCAGCGTGGGCAACGGCTTTATCTTTTGTATAGCATGGTTCATTGCGGGGCACCAGACTGAGAAGTGGCGGAGATAAGCCCACGGGGGTCGCTGGGGAGTCCATGCCTTGTTTTTAAGGGAGTGATTATGATCCAGGAAGGTGCGCTGCAGTGGATTGTGTTATGCAAGGGGTATTGTCACAACTCCTTTCCGAGGTACCGTGGTGGTATTGAGGCACATGGTGACATGATGTGGGGTTGTGTCTTGTGGGTACAGTGGTACACCTCTGATCAGAGTAAAACTATTCGAATAGCCGTGCCCGCGGTTATGGGCGGGTCTAACAATGTCTTTCGTGATTAGTCCCACACTTCTCACCATAGTAAATGATGCTATATTTGGTAATAATTTGATTAGCTCCTGGTTTGGAATGGTACATTCCTGGTTTGGGGATAGAACTGTGCAGCCGGGATGGTTGTTCAGAATGGTTGGGCCTATACAACAGGGTATGTTGTATAGCGTTGATTTAATATTGTTTAATTATTACTTAACTGTTTTATTAAATTCTGAAATGTTTGCTAAATACTGCTTTTGCAAATGAAACCCTATTATGCCATCCTTTGTTACCCTGTGCACTTGCATATTTGCTGCGTGGCTTGGTGAGTATGTCATATACTCACCTTGCAATCATTCATCAAAGGAAGAGTTCTACAGTGAAGCTGATGGCGTGGAGGATTAGGTGTAGCCCTGGTCAAGCTGCCTGTGGAGTGGAGCCGTCTGCGCCGTTTATCTTATTTTTCCGCTGCTTAGATCTTTATTGATTGAGAGGAACTATCTACCTCTGTAATGACATTTTATTCGCTTATTAATTAGAGTAATAATTGTACTCTATTATCAATTTGTTATTGTGTGCCTCGGCTGATTCCTGGACGAGGGTTCACACACATGTAAGCGTTTGGAATTTTGAATAGAAATTCCGGGCGTGACACTCACCGGATCTGGGCGCGGGCTCGCCGGATCTGGCGGCAGGGGCCACAACGGCGGCGGTTCCTCTCCTCCTTCCTTCTTCGCGACCGTCGGCGGCAGAGAGTAGCGGTGGCGGCGGATCTGGGGACCGGTCGAGGCGACGCACGGGGCTCCGGCTCCGCCAACGCGTGGCCTCGGACCGTGGCTTCGCCCTTCCCGAGCCCAGGCGCGGTGCTTCGGGCGGTTCTTCTGCAAGCGCGGGATCGGCCTGCAGAGCCACGGTCCCCACTGCCACGGGTGCGCGCATCCGACGTGGAGGTTTGAGACCACGAGCTAGGGTCACGCGTTGTACATGGCCTTAGGGAGGAGAGGCAGAGGCAGAGGGTCGTCGTCGCCTAACACCTGAACCTGGCCAAATAAGGGACCACAGCTTTCGGAAACGCGCATGCAGCTGCTTCCCTTCCTTGTTTCACTTGTTCGTGCAAGAGAAGAGAAGAAAACATGTGCGACCTACAATCGTATACCACTATACTTATATAGGAGTATATATATACTATATACTTGTACGGGTGTACAATCTACGAGAGAAAATATCCGTGCGTTACAACGGGTAAAAGCGTTTTTTAGTGATACTGCAGATATTAAACATTGGAATTGCTAAACACAATGATTGAAAAAGTTAATGAAAATTTCTCCTTAGTTTTGAGTCGATAGCCCATTCTTTCCTTCCTTTTCAGTCCTAACCCAGTCCGCCACCTTCCTCGGCTCGGCATGTCTTTCTTCAACCCAGCCTACAAGTGGATTCCTTTTCAGCCCTAGCCCAGTCCGCTACCTTCCTCGGCTCGGCCTGTCTTTCTTCAACCCAGCCTAAAAGTGGAGCTGCAGGCCTGGCTCGTGCAGCCGACTATCGTTAACCTTTGGAATGGAAGACAGTCCCGTACCCGTACGATGCCAAATTCGATCCTCCCCATCAAATCTAACCAAATATTTCTCAATCTCCCTAGTTAAGGGCTTTTGATCCACTCGATCTCCTCTTTCCATTATTTTTTCCAAAATCAGAGCGAATCCGTAAAACTCGGGGTTTAATCTTAGTCATTGGTCATCGTCGGCAAATGAGGTTAATCCAGGGAATTAAAACCGAGTTGAGAGGGAAAATTATGAGGAAAATGGTGGAGGGGTAGGGAATCGAATTTTGCAATCAATTAGAGGAGAAAATGCACCGGAGGTATATCGATGTGGCGGCGACGGTATGGTTCGGCCCGGCAGCGACAGGAGGTGCGTTGCGTACGTGTGCGTGTAGCATATCGGACGAGATCTATAAAAAAAAGGTAACAAAAAACCAAACGGACAAAAAAAAACAAAAGCCTACCGGAAAAAAAGTGACATAAACCAGCGAGAGAAAGATTGATGCTTGCCAACTGAGGAAGTCATCTTATGTGTGTCTCGAGAGGGGCAGGGGAAGGGGGCATGGTTTCGCGTCGCTTTAAGGAGGTGCCTACAGATCGGACGCTTGACTTTTTTTTAAGTAAAAATTGGATGCTATTTTATCAAGTAGATCGGAATTGTTTCACTAAGTGGATCGAAAATGTTTCAATATTTTAAAAAGCTGAAACACAACTAAATCATCTCTTGAAAACATTTCACTACAACGTATGAAACAAAGATTTCCAAAAAAAATCAGGCATTGTTTCACTCTATATAAAAACAATGTTTCAGCAAATAGCGAAAGTATGTTTCAATTCACTGCAACATTTGATCCATACATAGTAAAACATCACGAATACAGTTGTTGAAACATTATTAGTGGAATAAAAAACGAAACGCATTCTCTTAGTAGAGCGTTTCCGTAATATGTAGTTGATTTTTTGCAATGGCGCATATGGTGGGAAGTGTGGTAGGGACGGCGCGGAGGCGCGGGAGGCAGCGGGCGCCCGATCGCTGGCGTTTCCGCTGTTTTACCGCGCACTTCTCGCTTGCACCCTTTAGGTTGTGTTTAGATCTAGGAGTGTAAAGTTTTGGTGTGTCACATCGGATATACGAACACACATTTGAAGTATTAAACGTAGACTAATAACAAAACAAAGTATAGAATCTGCTTGTAAACCGCAAGACAAATTTATTAAGCCTAATTAATCAGTCATTAGCAAATGTTTACTGTAGCACCATATTGTCAGATCATGGACTAATTAGGTTTCAAAAATTTGACTCATAATTTAGGCGCAATCTGTGTAATTAGTTTTTTTCGTATATATTTAATACTCCATATATGTGTCCAAACATTCGATGTAGTATAGTGTAAAATTTTACCGGGGATCTGGCAGGACGTATACGCAGACCGACCAATCTGCTACAGTGCTACTACTAGCTAGTACTAGTGGTAGTAGTATACCAGGCTACCAGCCAGAGCGTGTCACACAGGACAAGCAAGCCCTGGAAGGCTGGAAGCACAGATGTGGGGCAACACACATGCAGTACTGTATTGTACGTGACAAATTGCCCATTGCATTCTTTGATCGAACAGCAAAGTGAATGCAAAAAAAACACACCTGCAACTGCAAACCTTTTGCCTTCCTTCAAAAAAAATGCAAGATGTTTGAGGTTCAGTGTTTGAACGTCTACTTGTGCCACCTGGTGTCCTACTGAATCTTCAGAGGTGCAATCTTTCTTTTGTTTTTTTGCGTTGTGACCAGAATAGTTCTTTTTTTAAAAAAAAAAAGTGGCATCATGATCAATACTTAATGACGCCACAAATCGCTCAAAATAATCTAAGAAAATACTATGACACTTGGTGCATATACTAGAGTACAAGCAGGCCTCGGAGCAGCTAGCAATCCTGCCATTTTAGAAAAGAAAAAAGAAAGGTAAACTGATCCACCAATGGTTAGAACTGCACACACTTGGTGTTGGAGGCAAGACGTGCACAATAATATGTCGATCGATTTGGTAAAATATACCGTTGTTTTTTTATATGTATCTCATTTTTTTCATTTTTCTGATTTATTGCAAAGTTAAATGATATCGTTAGCTACTATCCAGTTGAAAATAAACTTCACCCACTTTATGTCATTGCACTACTTCCTTGGGCTAGTTCGCTTTTGTAAACGAGTATGGCCTTAATTTGAACTAGTATTCATATGTATTAACCCTAGCTCTCTAAGCTTATACACGTTGTCAATAATCTTACGATGCATTCAAGAAACGTTTGTGCTTGTATTGAGGCTTGCAATGGAATGAAGGCAGCATTGATTTTATATGTGTTAGCAAGTAACAAAAAGAGAGGAGTAAAACATTACTCGATCAGATAGCTGTGGCGAACAGAACAACCGATGGAGGCACTGATGTTAAAGGTTTACTGCCGTTTGTGAATTCTTGCGGCGGCAAACAGAAGCGTGCATGTGCGTGACAAAAAAACAGGTATCCGAGGGTATCAAAACTATATTGTGTGATCACAGGTTCAGACTAAGGAGGCTGCCCAAGAAGCGGATTGCGCTCAGGCCTCAGGCTGATGAGGAGGCCCAGCAAAAGGAGGGTTCTCAAGAGGAGCTTGCACTTGAAGAAGATGGGGCTCTGGTTGAAGTGGATTGCCTGCCGCTGGCAAGTCAGGAGCATCTTGCAGATGATGGGGCTCTGGCTGATGAGGCTGAGGAAGAACATCGCCAGCCTCTGGCAAATCTTGAGGACCAGCTGCAGCTGCAGCTGGCAGTTGAGGATGCCCAGCAGCAGCATCGCTTGGCAGCACAGGAGCGAGCGGTGGCATTCCAATGGCAACCTGGCGGTTCTCTGCAGGATTCATCGTTACCGATGTCAAAAGGTGGTTACAGTTATACTACAGTCTACAGTACTACATGCAAAGGAACTACTGCAACAAACCAAGCATGCAGAGAGTATAATAATACAGTACCATTACATTCAAATAGACTACTCACCGTGAGTTTGCTGTCTCGCTGATCGAGAGATATTGTTAAGAACTTGTTCCATTTCTTCTAAGGCACTTTTGCACATCTCATTTTCGCACGACCTGAATTTGTCCAGAACCTTGCGCCCAGCATCAATCTGTATCAAAGTATCAATGTTTCCACCACATAGACTTTCATATTCATATGGAAGATGCATTTAGACAAACCTGTTTATCAATGTCTGAAGAATCAATATGATTGATTAATGAAAGCTGACCTGAACAATCAAATACAATTATCAATAAGTAGAAAGAGTTGATTCTATACTCCATCCAGCGATTAATATTTAACTTCTTGATCAAGATTCAATCAAACTTCAAAAACGGTGACCATCAGTTTTAATAAGAACAGCTTTATAATGATAATCCACAATATCATATGGTAGCACAGTTATGAGAAACTATTGGTGGTCATATATCCAAAGATCAATCAAACTTGTGCCAAACATTACATATTTCTGCAAATGCCATCAGAAGTGGAATGGGTAAAATAACTTTTTTTTGGAAAGGTGGTTGAATGTGTTGATTCTATATATATGTAGGCATTATATTGATTGTATGGGAGTAGAACACGATTATATTTTTGTTGAGAAAATGTAACAACCAACAGCTAATCAAATAATCTTCTGTAAGGTTAAAAGGAGTATACCTTGCTGGTTAGGCATTGTGCCACCAATTTTGATGCGTTTGTTCTTCTCAAATTCATCTGTTACTGGTTTCTTCTTTTTCCCCTCCTTCTTAAGGGCAATATGGAAGCGTTCCAAAGAGCTTTGTGTGCTCATTGGACAATGTTTTGACAAGTGGCCTTTCATGCATTGTGTTATGTCAGCATGTAGGAACAACTTCTGACAGAGCAAGCATCTTATGTCAGGCTTGTTGCCCCTCTTGTACGGCCTGTTGTCACATTTAATAGCGAACTCCCACATTGTACTTCTAAGGCCAGGTTCTGGAGTATACCTGTAGATATACATTGACGTACAACACGAATGAATACAGTATGCATGCATATAGTAGTATGTTCCAGCACACTCACACAGTAATACAATAGTACAGTTGTATACATAAGCTTCGTAGGCATGGTTGCATACAGACATGACAATATAGTACGTACCCAATTTCCCGTGGGAGATAAAACCTGAGGTAGTCATTGATTTTCTGTTGCAATTTGGGCACAGCGGTCTCATCAGCAGGGAGCTCCAGAAGTCTAAGGCAACAGACAAGATGCAAATATGTAGTAAGGAACTAAGGATACCACTATAGTATATTGGACAGCTGACAGCGTGCTAATTAAAGGCAAGCAAACAAGTTCAACGCGATGTGTTACATGAAAAGGGAAGACAAGATAGGACATGTATGTTCAGTTCAGATACCTTCCATCTCTGAGCTCAACAGCTTGCTGCAGCACGTGGATCCTAGCCTGCACATCGTCGTCCCTAGCATATGGACTTGCAGGTGCGGCTGCGAGAGGCAAGATTGAACTTGCGAAGAAACTATCTGCTTGCTCGAATAGCTTAGCATCAAGTAACATCTTCAGGCATCCTTTTCGGCAGATAAGATAAAGTATCTTGTGCAATATGGCAGGATCATTTGAGCTGAATGATCTGGGCGTAAATCTCTGCAGATAACCATCCAGTTCAAACCACATGCCTCCTTCCACCATATTATCGATGACGTCACTAGAGAAGGCGTTATCAGCACCAAGAAAAGCACCTGCTACAGGAACAAGCCCTAAATCAAATCAGCAGCATGACGATGATGAACACACCAACAACTACTTGAGTACCACCAGAGCCAAGCCCTGAACAAGCAGCATTTTGAGGATGAGGCATATATATGCAGCGATTTCAACATTACCAGGAAGAAGCCCTGGATAGGCAGCCTGTTGAGCATTGGATGGAGCAGCAGCTGCTTGAACACCAGCAGGAACAAGAACCGGATCAACAGCAGCAGGATGGATATGAGACGGATCACCTTGAATGCCATCCGGAACACCAAGACCTAAATAAGCAGGAGCTGCAGGATCAATCGATGTTGAGAAGGCGCATGCATGCATCGACATGAAAATCAACAGGAACAAGCACTAATTAACTAGCTAAACTGGCTCAAAACCAACAGGAACGAGCCCTAAATCGAGAAGCACAACGAGGATATGAGGCACATCACAGATATGCAGCATTGCACCAATAATTCGAACACCACCAGGGCTAATCCCCAAATTATATGACGATCGAGCTCGAGGTCGAGGATATATATACGAGACGCACCAGCACCAGCATCATCTTGAACATCACCCACATCAGCAGCACGGCCGCCATCCCCGCCCTGGTCCTCATCAGTACAACAAAAATCTCGTGCTGCGCCATCATAATCAATCCAGCCATCTGCTTCAACCTGATCATCATGACCTGGGACAGGATCCCCCTCGCCGCCAAACTCCATCTATGGCGGCCGGAGATCGAAGAGGATGGGGAGAGAGATTGGCTAGATTGGTTTGGGTGCTAGCTAGCTAGGAGAGGGAGATCGAGAAGCAGCAAAAAGTGTGGGAGATGTATGGGAAGGAATCAAGAAAAGTGAAATTGAATAAGCCTTTTGCATTCCTTGTGAGGTTTTGTCTTCACTTGGCCTAAGGGCTCGAGACTTTACGGTTTTCTTTTACAGCCGCAGCAGCAGCAACCACATGCCTCCTCGCTGTCCACTTTTGCTTCATTTTTTACATTTTACCATCGTAATACTATAAATTTTTCACTCTGTTACATGTTGATCTTTTGATTTATTTTTTTTAAAAGCTTTTCTTTAGTTGATAACGGTACATGCATGCTTACTGAAGTATAAGAGAGATTAATATATATATAGACTATGACCTGTTATTTTATGCGCGTGGTTCGGATGCATGGAACATCCGATAATTACGTGTCCTGAATTACATGGAGTAATCATATAGCATTGACAATAATACACTCCCACACACATACATCTACTCCCTCCGATCCGGTTCCATAATCACTGACGTTTTGGACAAGGTTGAGGTTAAACTTTTATAACTTTAACCATTAATAACAATATTTAGTTTAAAGAAACTAGAATAACGTATATTTGTCTTTCAAAACACTATAATAAAAGTAAACATGCATTTATTTATTATATATATTAAATAGAAAAATAAGATCAAATATATATTTTGTAGACCGTGTAATTGTCTAAAATGTCAATTAAAATGAAACTGGAGCGAATACATATGTGGGCAATTTAAATTGGCGTTGGATGGATGCGCGTGCATATGCAACATTAATTCGCATCGCGCTCATTTGCGTGCGAAACCCATATACATGCTGGGCTCATGTTGTAATTATATCTATTCGGCGTTTACATATGTGTTGGTTAATGGCTATATCGATCATCTTAGTACGTAGTACAGTTTTTTTTTTAATCTCGGTTCTAATTAATTTATGCTGTGAAAAACCAACATATGTATTTGGATTTGCGATAAAGGACGCGACCGTACATAACGTTGCGTTCGTTCAACTTTGAATTCTTCATGCATTGCCATGGGGCCCATATATGCATGGCCAGCATTTGCAGTTGCAGCCTTCTCCGTAGCAGACAGGCACAGGCGGTTGCAGTTGCAGCTGCAGCCTTCTCCTTCTTGTTTTCACCAGTTCAGCCAACCCAAAGTATTCGGAAACTCTCGTTGGGTTCCTCGATCTCTTCTGCACCGCCTGTCGATTCCGAGCAGCACATACTCCAGCTAGCAGTAGGAGGCATGCTACATACACGCATGTATAATAAAGATGTATGAATACATGGTCCAAGAGAAAAAAAAACAATAAAAGCTCGGTAGGTAATGTACAAGACAAGTAATTATCATATATAATCAATAAAAGGATATACCCCTCCGTCCCAAAAAAAAGTCTCATCCTAACTATGAACCTAGACGCATGCGTATCCAGATTCGTAGCTAGAGTTTGTCTTTTTTTAGAACGGAGTAGTATATAGCATATATACCCCGTGTGTTTTGCTTGCAAGTAGTTTAAGGCTGTGTAGTGTAGTGTGGGTTGGGAACTATCTTACACGAAAAACGGAACCGTAGATTAGCACATAATTAAATTAAGTACTAGCTTAAAAACTTAAAAATAATGAATTAATATGAATTTCTAAAGCAACTTTTCTATATAAAATATTTGCAAGAACCAGTGGTGCCCCCTGGGGGGCAAGGACCAGTAACATCGGCACCAGGGCAACCGGGGTTCAATCCTCACGTTTTGGTCAGACCTCAGCCGCAACATGCAGGGCACAACATCCCTCGGGTCTCCCCAAACCGAGTCGCATCCATGTTCAGACCAAGGCAGCCGACTATTGAACCAATTCCGTAGATAACCATAGGACAGCATTCACCTATCTCACAGCCACAGCCAACTATCGACAACCAATTCATATCTGAACAGAACATGGCACACCTAACCCCTCAGCCTCACATGGGGGGCAATTTAAATTTTCAATACCAACCCCACTCACCTCAGATACAGTATCGGCCATGAGGATCGCATTGGGCCCAATACCTACCTCAATATAACCAGCTAGATCAGATGCAGCAACAGATCCAAGGAGCACCTCAGCAGAAGCCTTGGGCATATATGACATCCGATGTGATGAGGGAGAAATTCAGGCTATGGCCTAAGGACAGTGGGAACTTGTATCTGCATCCGTACCCAGAATATTTTGAGAGAGTGCCATTGCCAAACCGTTACAAGGTCCTAGATTTCTCAAAGTTTTCAGGACAAGACAATGTGACAACATATGAGCTCATCAGCCGATTCTTGGCCCAGTGCGGAGAGGCATCGGCTACCGACGCTTTGAAAGTCAGATTGTTTCCTTTGTCTCTTTGTCTCTATCAGGATAGGCCTTCACATGGTTTTCAGCGTTACCATATAATTCTGTACACACTTGGGCCGATCTGGAGAAACAGTTCCACAAGTACTTCTACAGCGGGATTCACGAGATGAAATTGTCCGATTTAACGTCAATCAGACAGAAGCATGACGAATCGGTTCAAGATTATATCCAGAGATTCAGAGATATGAGGAATAGGTGCTTTAGCTTGGCTTTGACATATTCTCAGCTCGCTGATCTCGCTTTCCAAGGCCTATTGGCACCGATCAGGGAAAAGTTTGCATCCCAGGAATTCGAGAGTCTGACTCACCTAGCTCAGCAGGTGACAGCACACGAGCAGAGCCCGGATTGTGGCCGACGAGGTGTCTTCCCGCGATGTTCAGATCGGGAGTGAGCCCGATGCTCACGCATATGGGGCTTGGCAGCCTGGGGATCGGTGCCTCCGTGGTGCTCCACGAGAGGCATTGCCCTCGGGAATTACGGGCGAGCGCGGATCCCAAGGCATGCGTCACGAACATAACCCCGCAAGGGATAACGCAGAGGTGGAAACTAACGCAGGCTCAGGCATGGTGGCCGACGAGGTATCTGCCTGCGGTGTCCTGACCGGGAACGGGCCCGGTGCCCTGGCATCTAGGGCTCGACAGCCCAGAGGCAAGCCTCTCGATGGGACCCCACGAGAGGTGCGACTCCTAGGAAATACGGGCGCACACGGGTCTCCGGACCCGACCCCCGATTTTGAGCATGGCCAGCCCCCGCAGGCCGGGTCCAGCGCTGGGCGAACGCAGCAGCGACCAGTATACTACATAAGTGAGGTCTTAAGGGACGCCAAATCCAGGTATCCCCAACCAAAAAAATTGCTATACGCCGTCCTGATAGATTCGCGAAAGTTACTACATTATTTCCAGTCCCACACGGTCTTGGTCATAACTTCTTACCCCCTGGTCCAAATTTTGCACAATCGCGAAGGAACAGGTAGGGTCGCGAAATGGGCGGTGGAGCTAGTAGAATTCGACCTCCATTTCCAAGCCCAGCATGCCATAAAGAGCCAAGTCCTGGCAGACTTCGTCGCCGAATGGACGCTTGTGCCTGACGTAGATGACGAGATGGTTGCGTCACCAACCGCGGCCGGGCCTCACCCTCCGGGTGACACACCATCATGCTGGCGAATGAACTTCGATGGTTCCTTCACCTATAATGGAGCCAGAGCCAGAGTCGTTCTATCGTCACCTACCAGGGAAGAGCTCTAGTACATGATACAACTAGACTTTCGGGCCACTAAAAATATGGTAGAATATGAAGGGTTGTTGGCCGGACTCCGGGCCGCCAGCGCCCTTGGGATTCGCCGACTACTGGTACGAGGAGACTCCCAGCTTGTTGTTAATCAGGTCTCGAAGGAATTCCAGTGCGCGGACCCTCATATGGGCGCATACGTGGAAGAAGTAAGAAAGCTCGAACAATATTTCGATGAATTTGAGCTACAACACGTCCCGCACTGAAACAATTTTGACGCGGATGAATTGTCCAGATGGGCGTCGTCCCGGACCCCCATGCCCCCGGGTATCTTTTTCGAAGTCATAAAAACTTCATCTATACAGCCACCTGAGCTTACCAAGCCAGGTGATGTCCCACAAGAAAGACTAACGGAAGAGGTCCCGTCCCCAGAAGCGGTGATCGGGGCTATGAAAACCGTTGGAACCTGGATGGGTGAAATCCGAACTTATTTGCTCCGAGCTCATCTACCGGAAGAAGATGTGGAAGCAGAGAGAATAGCATGAATCGCTAAGCGATATGTCATAATAGGTGGGGACCTCTATCGACGAATGGCTAGCGGAGTGCTTCTCAAGTGCATCAGCCAGAGGACCGGTGTTGAGATTCTCTCTGACGTGCATGAAGGGGAGTGCGGTAGCCACTCCGCTTCCCGAACACTTGTGGGGAAAGTTTTCCGACAAGGGTTCTATTGGCCCCACAGCGTTACAAGGCACGATCAGACTGGTGCAGCAGTCTCGGGCATGTCAGTTCCATGCCAGGCAGATTCACCGGCCCACGCAAGCGGTACAGACCATGCCGTTATCATGACCATTCGCAGTCTGGGGACTGGATAGTCTCGGGCCCTTTCCCCAGGCTGTCGGAGGCTACGAACACTTATACGTTGCCATAGACAAATTCACGAAATGTTCCGAGGCTTTCCCAGTCAACAAAATCGACAAAAGTTCTGCCCTAAAATTCATAAGAGGAATCACCAGCCGTTTCGGGATTCCTAACCGCATCATAACCAATAACGGTAGTCAGTTCACAAGTGACCTCTTTGGGGACTAATGCAAGGACGTCGGAATCAAACTATGCTACGCCTCCCCAGCCCATCCTGAGCGCAACAGGCAGGTTTAAAGGGCGAATGCAGAACTCTTGAGTGGACTCAAGACTAGATCATACAACGAACTCAAAAAACACGGCGCAAGGTGGATAGACGAGCTCCCAGGAGTGTTATGGGAAAATCGTACCACCCCTAGCAGCGCAACGGGAGAAACCCTTTTCTTCCTAGTGTACGGAGACGAGGCCGTGCTCCCCTCAGAACTCGAATACGGATCTCCCAGGGTTGAGCAGTACGGAAAAAGTCTCGACAATGACAATCCTTTGAAGGAAAATATGAATCACTTGGAGGAGTACATGAGAAGGGCAGTGTTAAGGGTAGTCCGGTACCAACAAAATCAGAGACGCTACTTTCAGCGTAAGGTTCGCACCCCC